TCTCTTCTCCCCCTCCCCCCACTCCTCTCCCCCTCCCTCTCCTATCCAAAGAGCAGTCATGGTTCCCTACCCTGTGGAAAGTCCAAGGTCCTCCCCCCTCCGTCCATGTTTAGGAAGGTGAACATCCAAACTGGCTAGGCTCACACCAAGCCAGAACATGAAGTAGGATCAAAACCCCTTGCCATTGACCTTGGCTTCTCATCAGTCCTCATTGTCTTAGTTAAAAGGGCCACCTTAGTGTTGGCAAGAGACTTGAACCCAGAAGCCGGTTTTAAGCTTGGTGTAGAGAGCTTGAACTGGAAACTAGGGGTCTTTCAACACGTGGCTTGCCACGTGGAAAGGATCTGCCCTAGCTCGGTGGGAACCTCCAAAATGTTAGGAATATTTCCTAACCGAGCTCTCTGACGATGCAAAAATTCCCAATCAAACCAAATCAAAACAAACCGAATTAAGAAATATCCAAGTTTAATGGAAGATCTGTGCGCTCTCCCCCTAGGGGGAAACCGGGAAGCCTCAGGAATGCGACCCCTGGGAGGAAGAAAAGGGGACCACGTGTTCTTCTTTTGGGGAATCATTTAAGTACCCCGAGGAGTGGTCCTGACCCCTCCCTGGAATTTGAAGTCCAGACCAGGCCTGTGGGCTGAGATAGATGCCAGGGACTGGGGCCTAGGCTCCCAGCCTAACACTTCCTATTTACTTAGGTAATGTTATATTCTTCTGGAGTCTTTGATGGAGTTGAAGAATTTATAGTTATAGTTTTCCTTAGTTATGATAAAAGATAAATTAGATAAAATATTGTGACTATAATTCTTATTTGATACCTGTTTTGTTGGGAAATGGTGTGGGAAGTCCTTCTGTTGATGTGGTTCTTTATTTGGTTAATGAATAAAGAAAGTGTCCTGGCCTGTTGATAGGGCAGAACTTTTGTAGGCAGAAAGATTCAACTGAATTCTGGGAGGAAAAAGGCAGAGCCAGGAAGACACCATGGTTCTACAACCAGAGTAAGACATGCTGCTGAAACTTAGCCAGTAAGTCACTGCCTCGTGGTGATACACAGATTAGTAGATATTGGTTAAACTAAGGTGTAAGAGTTAGTTAATAAGAAATTAGAACTAATGGGCCAAGCAGTGCTTTAATTAAAATAGTTTCTGTGTGATTATTTTGGTTCTGGGTGGCTGGGATGAGCAAACAGCCCTCTCCTAGCAATAAAATATTCTTTGAGGCTTGATCATCTCAACCAGCAGTCTTGAGGCTTTTCTGGATGTAGCACTCAGAGAAAACTACAACAGAGGTTCTTTTAAATGTTGGATTATCTGTGCCATCTGCTCCTCTTGGAGATTTTTCAGGTTTCTTCCTTGATTAAATCTAATTTTTCTTAATCCAGAATTCTTCTGGATACAAATGCAAAGCCTCTTCTCCAAAGTAACACAAATTTTGGGTTAAAATTTGAAGTCAAGTCATTTTCAAAATATATATGTTGGATTAATCCAGCAGCATTTATAATCAAATATCTGTTAGCAGCTGTTGTTTTTTTTTTCTCAGTCATTAAACAATCTAGGACAACACAATGACATTCAGTATCTAGATTCTCTGTGTGTTTTCCATCTGTACATAGCTTTATTTTAAACACTATTTCTTTTTTATTATTAATTTTTTTTTTTTTGAGATAGAGATTCTCTTTTTATTTTTGGCTATCCTGAAACTGAAACTGTAGACCAGGCTGCCTTGAAACTGTAGACCAGATGCCTGCCTCTGTCTCACAAGTGCTGGGATAAAAGGTGTATACCACCAAACCCATCTACTCTCATTCTTTCTTTTTTAAGGACTTTATCTGTTTTCATTTCTTTCCAGAGTCTACATATATTTTTAAACATACTGTAAACCATTTAAAGATTTTTTTATCTGAGTTAATCTTCACAATATATATTTTATTCTGACCACATTAGTCTTTAATTTGCTAAGCAATATGGCTAGGATTAAAGCCATGGCTTTGATGGCTGAATCCATCCCATTCTTTTTTTTTAATTTTTTTTTTAATTTTTATTTTTCGAGACAGGGTTTCTCAGTTCTGAGAGTTCAGCTTCATGGCAGAGATACTGGTAGGGGCCATGTTTTTAGTCACAATTCTAAGTTTCATGGTTCATGCCATCACCAAGAAGCATGATGTTGGCTATTCATAAACAGCATTTAAGTGTTTTGTGGTGTAAAGAGCTGTGACGTTTTTGTAGCTAAAGCTGAATCAGGAAGCCTCCCTTAAATGAGACCTGCTTCCTTTAGCAAACAGAGCTTACCTGAGAAAGTGCTGCTATCAAGAAGCCATGATTAATTCTGTTCTTTTATGCTTAGAAGAGCTTACTGAGCTCTTTCAGGTTTTATGTGGATGTAGTACCCCATATTGACATCTGGAGCCCATGAGAATCCTAATTCCACTCCTACTGGGACCTGTTTAAAATCCCAAAAGGTCCCTGGCCTAGAATGTCTCCCATGGCTGCCCTCCTGACTTGTTTTCACCTACTAAGCAGTTTTTTTTTTTTTTTTTTTTTTTTTTTTTTTTTTTTTTTGTCAAAGTAACCATTTGTCAATATACCAGGCTGGCCCCTGCTTCCCCCACCTGGCTGCTTTCCCTACAGTGAAGTGATTTGTACAGCTTCTGGTTTGTGTTCCCTGATCTTGTGCTCTGGGTTCCTTGATATTCTGGTAGCAAAAAGACTTACTCCATATACAGAAAGACTTCACTATCTATTAATTTGTGAAGCAAAGCATATTTGTCAGTATTTAAGCAGGCTCCAACATAGGACCAAGTGGAACTATTCACACGACTACTGGTTGTTTCTTTCTACCACTGATCATGTGTCTCTCCTATGCAGCTGCCACATGCTGGCCAATAAATATTATTACATATACAATAATTTACTGAAATCTTATAACAGAAGTAACATTATTTGATTAATAAATAAATCAATAAATTTGAAAGTTATATAATTGCAGAAAATACTATTATTTAGGGATTTAATAATCTTTTTGATGAATGGTATTCTGCAAGCATACATGGTTTTTCTGATACATCCATTTATTAGGTATTGGGGATTAGCTTTGATTTTCATAATGGATCCTAAGAAAATGATTTGATAACAGAGCCAAGAATGAGGCACTTTTAGAAATGATACAGTCTTTACAGACTAACAATGACCAGCTAACTGACAGAATTACTATTATCAAAAATATAAAGTTAGCTAAAATATTAATACCATTAAAAAGGAAAACATTAATTTGACAAACAAAATTCAATCCATGTCAAAGGGTGCTGAGAAATTATTTAAAAGAATTCACACTGTTGAATTTAATAATCAAAATCTGTTAAAAAGTTATGATAGGTTAGTAGATAGAGTATATTTCCAGGAAGGCAATCTTCATGCCATCAAAATAATATCCAACAATAACAAGCTAGCCTTAATGGATAAATTTCATACCTTTGGGATTATATGTGCAGAATGAGGACCAGGGGTTATGTCAGTCAATGAAATAACTAGAATTATATACAGGTCAAGAAATTTGGGATTTATAAAAGACAGTGGTGAAAAGATTTTAAATGATTGAAAAAATTGTAGAAACTGATGAGCAGTGAGAGAAGGTACAAGAACTGGATTTAGCCTTGCTAGTACATGTCAGAGTCAAACATGATTTACTCAGGCTTTTAGAACCCTACCCTGTAGTCACCTCTGACAAACCATCAAGTTCTAAATGCCAAAAAGGGTGCGGTTCTTGTCTTTGAAAGAAAATATTCATGTAGTAGGGAACAGAGTACCTTGTTTGTCCCAGCCACTCAGCTAGCTTATACCTGAAATAACCACATAGAAACTGTATTCATTTAAACACTACCTGTCCAATTATCTCTAGCCTCTTATTGGCTAACTCTCACATATCAGTTTAACCCATCTCTGTTAATGTGTATCACCACTTGACTGTGGCTTACCGTGATGAGTCTAACTAGCATCTGTCTTGGGCAGGAGTACCATGGCATCTGCCACACTGCCCTTCTTCCCAGAATCCTGTTCCGTCTTCCCTGCCTACCTGAGTTCTGCCCTATCAACTAGGCCATGACAGTTTCTTTAATAACCAATGAAAATAATGCAAATATAGAAGGAGCTCCTCCAACATAGTCATCTTGAAAATGTCAAGAGACCCTGAATGTTTGGATAGTTAAAGAATAAAAGATAACTATCCAGAAAGGATGCCAAGCAAAGAGAATTATGACTTATGAGGACAAGTCAGCTACATGGTGTGATGTGGGTTTCCCCTCTATATACTATGAATACCATTGGTAAATAAAGAAACTGTCTTGGGCCTATGCAGAAAAGAATACAGCTAGGCATAGAAAACTAAACTGAATGCTGGGATAAAGAATACAGATTTGGGAGATTTCTACATAGCTGCCAGAGGGGAAAGATGCAAGCTGCCAGCTGGAACCTTGCCAGTACACAGTGGGGATACACAGATTAGCAGAAATGTGTTACATTAAGATGTAAGAGCTAGCCAATAAGAAACTAGACTTAATAGGCCAAGCAGTGATTTAATGAATACAGTTTCTGTGTGGTTATTTCAGGGCTGAGCAACTAGGAACAGACAAGGAGCCTTCCTACTACAGAGATCCAGCTGCTTCTGCCTCCCAGGTGCTGGGGTTAAAGGTATGTGCCAGCACACTTGGACTTCAACCACAAATGTCTACAAATGCTGTGACATAATACTGTTGCACCCTTTAAAGATTTGTCACATGTATTGGTTTAATAAAATACTCATTGGCTAGTAGCCAGGCAGGAAGTAGAGCAGAGAAACCAGACTAGGAGAATTCTGGGAACAGGAAAGGCTCACTATGACATAACCACCCAGACACAGAGGAAGCAAGATTAAAGTGCTGTACCGAGAAAAGGTACCAAGCCACATGTCTAAAACTAGACAAGAATTGTGGGTTAATTTAAGTTGTAAGAACTAGCTAACAATAATCCTGAGATATTAGGTGAACAAGTTTATAATTAATGTAAGCCTTTATGTGTTTCTTTGGAACTGAATGGCTACAGGACCAGGCGAGATAAAAACTTACATCTACAAATGGTGCCAATGTGAGGCAACTACATTCACATAAAACCTGAGAGAGCTTGAGAAAAAATTCTAGAAAAAAATAAGACAATAGAGGTAAGCTAAAGTTCTTGATAGAAGCTTTTTCTTGGGTAGCCTCTGTTTTCTAGAGTCAAGCAGAGGCAAAGTTTCTTTAACAGAGGCTTCCTGACTCAGCATTAGTAGCAAAAACTTCCCTTCTCTTTTAGGAGGCTCTGACACCAAACACTTAATTGGTGTTTAAGAACAGCAGCATCAGGCTCCTTTGTGGTGTGGACCTCTGTGGACCTAAAAGATCCACAGAGTTATAGTAAATTAAATATGACTCCTGCCAGTACCTCCATCATGAAGCTAGACTCTCAGGAAACCAAGGAATGGAGTGGCTCTAGCCACCAAAGCCACAGCTTTAATCCTAGCTCTATCACTTAGCAAATTAAAGACTCATGTAGTTAGAAAAAGAGAGATATACAGTAAAGACAGATTCAGATTATATAAAAAAAAACACTTTAAATGGTTTACAGTGTGTTTAAAAAATATGCATAGCCTTGGGAGGTAAAAGAAAAAGGATAAAGAAAGTCTTCTTTTAAAAAAAGAAAGAGAATAGTTGGCTGTGCTGGCACATGCCTTTAATCCCAGCACTTGGGAGGCAAAAGCTGGTGGATCTCTGTGAGCTAAAGGAAAGCTTGGTCTACAGACTGAGGTCTAGGACAGCCAGAGATACACAGAGAAAGAATAAAAAATTGTCTCAAAGAAACCAAATATTAAAAAAATAAAAGAAATATAGTAAAAAAAATAAAAAAATAAACCACATAAATATGGATTATACACAGAGTCTTCATTATGTGTACTATTGTGTTTTCCTTTTTCTGGTTTTTGTTTTGTGTCACAGAGGATAGAAAGCTTTGGCCCTTACCTGCTTATATGATTTGATCAAACAAGACTCCTTAAGTGAAGGCCCAGGTGGTCCAAAATTCATGACAGCTTTAAGACTGATGGTTGAGATGGATCAAGCACATTAGATATCCCATGAAGTGTCTCGTTCATTATATCCACATACAGCAGGAATCAGTCTAGATAACTATGTGCAAATTCCCAAATATTATTTATAAATATTTGTTTTTTATTTAAAAGGGGTTGATTATAAGTGGTTAATGATCACAGTAAATCTCTTTGTAAAAATAAAGGTGGGGATATGATAAAGAAATGAATACTTTCCCTTGGTATGGACTTTGGTTTATTGATATAAGTTTAAGGTTAATTTTGTTATATGTATATTTCTACTCTTATTTAAGGTATTATGTTGATAAAACTCATTTTAAAATGTATAATTAAAATTATTGATTAATAGATAGTCATCAATAATAGTCAAGCTATAGTAATATTAGTTAGGTTTTCTAAGATATACAGGGATATATTTAAGATGATAAGTATTCTTCAAAACTTTCAAAGATCTAGAGTATATTGCATTTAAAATGTTTTAATAACTTTGACTTTTCTCAATAGTGAGACACTGTCTATTTGGGGCAGTATAAATTTCTTCAATGAGGTTGATGGGTATTGAAGAAACTTGTTCTGGAATTTGCCTTCAATGCAAAAAGGATAGTCATTTGAGCAAGAAACTGCTCTTGCCTGGACTGCTTGATAATATGCTGTATGAACTAGCATCTGGAAATTTACATGCAAATGGATGAAACTAGAAAAAAAAATCCTAAATGAGGTAAACCAAAACTTGAAAGACAAGCATGGTATCTACTCACTCATAAGTGATTACTAACTGTAAAGCAAAGGATAACAAACCTATAGTTCATGACACCAGAGAAGCTAGGTAACAAGGAGAATCATATATATATTCACACACACTGCTGGGAAAAAGAATTAGACAAGATTGCCTGTCCAAATTGGAAGGTTGGGGGTTGGGAAGGAGGGAGGACAGAAGGGAGGCAGAGGGGGAGAAGGAAAGAGGGATGAGAACTTGAGGGAACAAGATGGTTGAAATGAGGAAATGACAGAGATTGATAGCAAGTAAAGAGGTACCTTAATTGAAAGAGCCATTTTGGCGCTAGCAAAAAAAAAAAAAAAAAAAATCTGGCACTAAAGAAATTCCTAGGAATTCATAAGGATTACCCATACTAAGGCCTAATAGTGGAGAGGATGCCTGAACTAGCCTTACTCTGTCATCAGATTGATGAGTGTCTTAAATGTCATCATTATAAAACTTTTATCCACCAACTGATGGAAGTAGATGTAGAGATCCAGAGTGGAACACTGGACTGAGTTCCCAAAGTTCAGTAAAAGACTGGGATGAGTGTGAATATGGGCAGAGAGCTCAAGACCATGGTGGGAATATACAATGAAACAGCTTACCTGAGCTAATGGGAGCCCACCAACTCCAGCCCGACAAAGAGAGAACTAGCATTGGATCAAACTAGGCCCTCTTAATGTGGGTGACAGTTGTATGACTGGGACAGACTGTGGGATCACTGTTAGCGAGATCACATTTTATCACTACTGCTTGTAATGGCTTTGTGGAACCCATTCTTTTTATAGGGATACTTTGCTCTGCCTAGATATAGTTGGAATGGCCTTGGTTAGTGTGGCACTATTCTGTATTCTGTCAATTATGTTTTAAATAAACACTGATTGACTAGTAGCCAGGTGGGAAGTACAAGTGTGATAATCAGACAGGAAGTAGAGGTGGAGCAAGGTGAACAGAAAAATTCTGTGAAGAGGAAAGCCCATTCCTGTCCAGTCCTGCCCAGACACAGAAGAAAAAAGATGTGACCTGCCATACTGCAAAAGGTACCGAGTCATGTGGGTAACATATATAAGAATAGTGGGCTAATATAAGTTATAAGAGTTAATAAGAAGCTTGAGCTAATGGACCAGTTTATAGTTAATATAGATCTCTGTGTGATTTCTTTGGAACATAAAGACTGCCGAAACCTGGCAGGACAGAAGACCTCTGACAACACTGAGGCAGTGTCTGTCTTTGAGGTTGAGGTTTATTTCTTGTATACATCAAAATGCTGGATCCTGTTTTCATATCCGTTCTCTTAGCCTGTGTCTTTTTACAGGTGAATTGAGTCGATTGATATTAAGCAATATTAATGACCAGTGGTTGTCAATTCCAAATATTTTTCAATAGTAGTGTTTGTGTGCTTCCCTCTTTGGATTATGCTGGTGAGGGGTTTATCAGCTGCCTATGTTTCTGTGGGTGCAGTTAGCTTTCCTGGGTTGGGGTTTTCCTTATAGTACTTTCTGTAAGGCTGGGTTTGTGGGTACTTATTGTTCAAATCTGTTTTGGGAATATATTATTTTCTCCATCAATGGTGAATGAAAGCATTGCTGGATATAGTACTCTGGGCTTGCATCCATGGTCTCTTAGTGACTTCAGCACATATACCCAGGACCTTCAAGTTTTCATGGTTTCCAATGAGAAGTTGGGTGTAATTCTGGTAGGTTTACCTTTCTATGATTTTTGCCCCTTTTCCTTTGCAGCTCTTAATATTCTCTCTTTATTCTGTATGCTTTTTGTTTTGATTATTATATGGAAAGGGGATTTTTTGTTCCAGTCTATGTGGTGTTCTGTAAGCTTCTTTTTTTTTTTTTTTTCGAGACAGGGTTTCTCCATAGCTTTGGAGCCTGTCCTGGCACTAGCTTTTGTAGACCAGGCTGGCCTAGAACTCCCAGAGATCCGCCTGCCTCTGCCTCCTGTGTGCTGGGATTAAAGGCGTGCGCCACTACTGCCCGGGCGTCTGTAAGCTTCTTGTACCTTCAAAGGGACATCATTTTTTTTAGGTTGGGGAAGTTTTCTTCTATGACTTTGTTGAATATAATTTCTGTGCCTTTGAGCTGAAGTTCTCCTTCTTCTATCCCTATTCTTAACTTTGGTATTTTCGTGGTGATCCAGATATCCTGGATGTTTTATGTTAAGAATTTGTTAGATTTAATGATTTCTTTAACCAATGAGTCTATTTTTCTATAGTATCTTCACCCCCTGAGACTCTTTCTTCAATATTTTGTATTCTGTTGCTTATACTTGTCTCTGCAGTTCCTGTTTGTTTACCCAGATTTTCCATATCCAGAATTCCTCAGTTTCTTTTTTATTTCTTCTATTTCAGTCTTCTAGCCTTGTACTGTTTAACTGTTTGTTTTTTCTTGGTTTCCTTGGATCTCTTTGAGGGATTTATTAATTTCTTCCAAGTTTTTGTTTGTCTTCTTTTCTTTAAGGGAGTTTTTCATTTCCTCTTTAAAGGCCCATCATTTCATAATACATTTAAAGTCGTTTCTTCTTCTGAGTTAGGATGGTCAAGTCTTTCTGTTGTGTGACCACTGGGTTCTGGTATTATTATGTTGCTTTTAAGGTTGCTGGAGGAATTCTTGCATTGGCACCTACCCACCTCTTCCTTCAAATGAGTCCTTCAGTGTCTTTGCATTTTGGTCCAATCTTTGCAGTGGCTGTCTGAGTGTTTGGGAGTTTTTCTTGGTCTGCTCTGTATTATCAATGTGTATCTCAGAAAGCCTCTGAGGTCTCTATATCTGCTTTCATGGTCTTCTCTTCTGGTTTGCTCTC